TTACTGTCCAATAGGAAGAATGGTACATAAGCCAGTCTCTTCTCAGGCTATAACTAAGCCATGGTGGTGCAGCACTTAGAATGAAGTATTGCAGGCTAATTCAACTACTCAGGAGTTCGATTCTGACCGGCTCAAGGTTGACTCAGCCTTCCATCCTTCCGAGATCGGAAAAATGAAGACTCAGATTGTTGGAGGCAACATGCTGACTCTGTAAGCCCCTTAGAGAGGGCTGTAAAGCACTGAAGTGGTATATAAGTCTAAGTGCTATTGCTGTTGCTATAATTCATTTTCACAAACAAGGGCTGATGCTTGGCAATCTGCAAAGCTGTTAGGGTGTCTCAGATAATCGTTGCCACATCTCTTATCGTGATTCTGTGATTATGACTGATGTAAAGCAGGAAACCTGGCTGGGCACATCTAGAGGGGAACATCTCACCCACCCATACCTATGCCCAGGTAAGTTTCAACAATGCAAAGATGATCCACCCCCTCATCCAAAATGAAGTTATGGATGAGACCAGCTTTATTACAGGCTGGCCATGCATTAAGCGGCAGGAGTCACGGTCTCTAGACATGACTACCAGGCCATGGACACAGCATAGAGGTAGGGCTGGAAAGTGACATTGATACTAACATCAAGGGTGAGTTCATGGTGTTATTTGCATAATGACATATAAATGATACAAACACTATTTGATTGCATAATAGTCCCATTGCTTAAACAATATAAATCTTTGCAAATGATGTGAATTTTAGACACTCAAAAATAACACTCGTGCATTCCTGTTGTATGGCATGATCAATTATGGGTTCACCATACTAAACTGTTGGGTTGTTTTGTACAACCCATTAGACCAGGGATCTTCAAACTTGACAGCTCTAAGACTTGTGGACTTCAACTCCCAGAATTCCTCCTCCAGTCAGGTTAGCTTGGGAATTCTGGGAATTGAAATCCACAAGTCTTAAACTTGACAAGTTTGAAGACCCTTGCATTAGACTAAAGTGGGATTGGATAGTTTGTGGGGAAACACATAGAAATCCAGCTATTGTTATAGTACAGTATTAGGTGAAGCAGGCAATTTCATAAAACCAGAATATGCTTTATTTGGCCCAGGGGACGGGGTTGGTGGTGATGGGACAGCATAATACATGAACTTTGGTAATCCACATCCGCAGTTTAGTGTTATGCACATCCAGCTAATCAACTCTATAGAAAAGACTTTCTCTTTTCAAGTTGGATGAATGGTTACTTTTAAAAAAGATACCCAGGTTTGTCTTATGACCACTTGCTCCACTTATACAACCTGTTCCTACTTCTGCATCTGTAACAACCCTGCAAGCTAGATGATCCAAAGGGGTATGGCGAGAATGTGTAGAATGCATAGCCATGGTTGCCCCTGGTGGAAGACTTGGAGACACTTTCAACCAAAGGCTGAGACTGTCAAACTTGAAGCCATTACAAAGCGTTCCTGATTTTAAGTACTCTATGTTGTTGCTCTTACACTCATTCACTCTTCTGCACACCCTCACATGCCCACAGCCTACTCATCTGTTGACCAGACTATGTGTAAGCTAGAGGAAGGGAAGTCACTAAGCCCAAACCCCAAATGTTTCAAACCGCTGATGTGAACAAGATTCTTTCTAGCGCCCAAAGTCCTTGCTTTATTGATCTGTAAAATTCATCCAACGGTTAATTGGATAAGGGCTTCCTTGCACTCCAGGCCTTTTTGCCTGATGACATTTCTATTAGGCGCATACATAAGAGTTGCCTTGCAGCAAGATAGGTAGCAAATACATTTAATAAATAAAAACATTGTTTGGCTCTTAATGATTTGATTCTTTTCTGAAAGTGTCTGACAAGATGCCTGGTTTTGTCCTCTGTAAGCTTGTATTTAGTCCAATGTTAGCTTATGGCTACAATGGTCAATTTTGGCATGCTCTTATTCTCGTAATACCCACTGCTGGTATTTGAATGTCTTTCCCCAATAAGATGAGAGTGACTCCAATTGACTGTACTGTGTATTGCAGTGGTTCTCATCCTGTGATCCGTAGACCCCTGGGGCACACAATGTTGTCAAGAGGTCCGCAAAGGCTTGAGGAAAATTTATGGTTTAAATCTTGAGTTAAGTCTTGGGTGGGGTGGGTCTGTGACCACAAAAGTTATTTAAACAGGGTCCATGGTGAAGAAAAGATTGAGAATCAGTGGTGTAGTGCGCATTGTATTATGGATTGGATTGGATTGGATTGTGGGTTTAATAGAACACTCTTGTAAGGAACTTCGGACCTAATAATGTTTTTATATCATATGCAAGAGAAAAATACAATTATAGCCACTAATGATCCCAGTCGTCTCTGAATTAGATCTTCTAAATGTATTGGATAACAATTTTGAGAATTATTAGCTGAGTTAACAGGATTCTTAATGACTTGCACTTTCTAAAATACTGATTAGGTACCAACAGGATGACTGTTTTAAAGGAAATCTATGATTGGAGGTTTATTCCTGAAAAGCTGAAGAACATAGTTAAGAAACAAGGCAGGTCTCATATATCTCTCCCAACTCCTAGAAAAATGACAAAACCCTGATGCGAACGGTTTTGTGATAATTTCTTTTTATCTCTTTTGGAAAAAAAATGATATACAAAAACCCAGGAATCAACATGGCAGGCATTCCAGCAAAAATACAGAGAGAAGTTCCATTTCTCAAAGGAAACACTATTGATCATGATCATGCTAGAAAAATGGGATGTAGCAGAAAAATGTCTAGGACTGGGGGAGGGAGAGGATGGTCTTTTTCATTTCCTTTGATTTGTCAACAATAAATTACAAACCGAGAATCAGTTTTGGATACAAATGTGTTACATTTTGATTCAGAAAATTAATCCGGCATTACTAGGAGAAAGGAACACCTACATTTTGGGGGGATTAAAGAGCTGCTTCTAGGCATTGCTTTTTATTTTAACAGATGTTCAGTTCTATCTCTTCAGAAGAGTCTCTTCCTGAAAACAAGGAAAATTGCCGAAACCCAAAGTCCTCTTCGGCTGCCTTTTTCCTTGGTGATTCCATTTAACTCCTTGACAGCTTATCTTCCCAGGGTGCTGAGAAAAGGAAAAGCAGAGATAAGGTACCAAGTTTGACCAATCTTTCTCCTCGATCCGATGTTCTAAATTTCTTTTGCATTTCCTTGTGAATGAGAAGGGACATTTCTGTGGAGGCACAACAAAGATGCTTTTCACATGGTTCATATTTGACACACGTAGTCGGCAGCTGATTTCCTATTTGTGTCAATGTGAAAGGTATTATTACAATATATTAGCACCAATGGAACTGAATCACAAATGTATTTGCCCTAAGGCATCTTTCTGAGTTGCAAAATAACACTCAAATGTAGCAATGAAACATTTACACTCTTTCTATTACAAAACACCAGTTGGTAACACAGTGATGGGTTTCCAATTTTCGGGATCAATTTGGAGCCTTCTGTGAAGCACTGTATGAAATAACAGGATTTTGAGTGGCTCTAAAGAGATTAATATATTTGTTCCAAGGTTAAGTGCTACTTCCAAAGTTTATCATGTCTTAGAAACGCATGCATATGTCACAAGAAAGCGATACATATATGTCTACAGCAACAACAAAAAAATGCTCATTTGGTAGAATTCTGGTAAATGATTCAATGATTATGGCTACAAATTTTCCTACATGATTTTCATGCTTCTTAGGAAGAGACAGTTCTTAAGAAATTTAAAAGTACCACACCGAGGTGGATTTCAGCTTAGTGCAGACCATTGTTCTTTGGCCTGGGACTGCAATAACGCTGCAATAATACTTCATTGTCCTAAGTTTCCCAACTTGTTCTTCTGTTCCTCAAATCTACTAAAAGGCTAATGATACAGTCTTTTGACTCACACTGAAATCTTGATTCAATCTGCTAAGCTATTAGTGCTAAACTGGACTCTGGCTAAAAGCTGCTGTCATTTGTTCTTGCAGTTCAAGGCAATAATCTTAAGGATAGTGCACAAGAGGTGTGCATTCACACGCAGGCTTTGTCAATTATTTCCATCGTGCCAAAAGAAATTTTGTTGGTTGCTTTATATGAAGAAAGTTTGCTTGAAGCAGATTCTACGAGACAACAAAAAAGCTGCTAGCTAAGCAAGAGGTGTGAATTATGCACATTCAATGAAGACCTTGGGGCTAAGAAACTAGTCTTGAGTCAACAACCCAAATAGTACACACCATGAGCCCCTTTGGGACAATTTCCTGAGCAAGCTCCATTAAAAAAACATGGAATTCCTGAAAAAAAGTTCAGGTATTTCCTGCTCTAGTCACAGTCACAATTACGGGGCTTGTATAAGAGGAATCAAAGTTTGCAAATCGACAACTACTTAGTCTTGCTATGTTAAACCAGCATTCAAAATACATATTTCTCATTATTGATAATCTAAAGGACCAGATAGCAGTCATGCAGAGAACAATTCTACAGTAACTTCTAGAAAATGAGTATGAATTCTGTAGAATTGCACTGCCAATACTGAATCTGAACTCCTCACTTTCTGGAAGCATCATCTCTGGTAATAAAAAGGTAAAAAATGAATTAGTATTATAATTATCATTTAATTTATTGAATATAAAACAAAACAAAACAAAAAAAGTTTGTGTGTACAAATATCACAAAACATCAACAATTCCCAAAGATGTAGTGTCTCAGAACACATTGTAATCAAAAAAGAGTTCATAGTTTTTGTCTTGTTTCTTTTTTGTTTTCATTTGTTTTAAATTCTGGCATAAATATATTAAAGCTGACAACAAGGGAAAAAAAGTGGGTGGGAATTCCAGGGCAAGCTATATCACTTCCTCATACAAAAATGTACAAAACATTAGTTCCTAACTAGACATAACATAATACTGGTCATCATAGTTTGACAATTAGTATAACTGTGTGTTCTTGTGGGAGTACTGTAGCAGAGGGCAATAAAAAAATTCTCTTGATGTTGTTCAGATCAGGTTACTTCAGTCATAGAGGCAGAATGATTCTATACAACAAAAAGAGAGAAGACACAGAATATGTTTTAATATGCAGTGATGTAGTCACAACTGTTGATCTTGGGACAAATAAGAAATGAGATAGGGAAAGCACATTAAAGTTGTTTTTAATCTGTTCAAAACATTTCTATCCTAAGGCATATGACAGGAAGGAAAAGGAAGGAGGATTTAATGGAGGATCCATTATTTTTTTGCCTAACTGCCTGTTTCATAACAATTTATCATGATTTTTTTTATTTTTTGGAGATTTTTTCTCCTGTTTCAAACTGTTTCTGTACTCTTTCCCCTCCAAATACCAAACATAATTCCATTTTGTTCATTTTTGGAGCATTATCCTGCTGGTGGACAGGTGAAGAGACATTGATTTGATCTCCTTATTTATTTCCAACATTCTGCTAGGTTACAAGCAATAAGGTAGGGGAAAAAAATCAAGGATATACAATAGTCTTGCCCATTAAAGTCAGAAGTAATGTCAGCCATTAAGTGAAGCATTCATATGATTGCCTCAAGGCCCCCATCCCTGGTCTTCTCGATGCGGTCATTAAACAAATGTGCAGGTTGTTAAGTGGAACACATTCAGGGGCCTGAGGGGAGGTCCTGGGATGCCTTGTGCAGGCCCTACTCCAGGCTTCCCCTACCCCAAGGCATCCCATGCTCCGCTTTCTTGTTTCCTCTCACATTGCCTTGGGCCTACTTTCCATCCCACCAGCCTCCACCCCCTCCTTCTCACCTGCATCACACATTGCACGCTTACCTTTCCAAGAGCTCCAGAGCTTGCCTTAGGGAAGCAAAGGAAGCTGCTTTGTTGTTGGGCTGTGCAGTGCGATCCCAGAAGCAGCCGCCATTTTCTGAGAACCTACAATTCAATGCAGCTATTTGGAAAATGGCGGCTGCTTCTGGGATCATGTCGCACAGTTCAGCAACAAAGCACATTGCTTTGCTTAATGATCCATACAGTCCTCGCTTAACAATGACAACTGGGACTGCCAGAAGTGCTGTCACTCAGCAGCACAGTCCTGTGGGTTTTTTCAACTTATAGCCGTGTCACTTAATGCAAGAGTTTCCAGCCCCAATTAGCATATTTAATGAGGTTCTACCCTGTTAATTGGCGTTAATGGGAACTGGATTACAACACAGTTCCCCATCCTGCTTTAAAAACACTTGTACAGGACATAATATCTGAAGTAGCTCAGAGGCTCAAATATAATCGCTAAGAGTGGATACGTGGGAGGATATTTGTTATTGAGCAGACTGTCCCAGTTAAATGATTACCTTTAATCCAGAATGGATAAAACTGATAGAATATAAAAATGCAGAATGGAAGGACTAATTTAATTAAATAACGGTGCTTCTAAAGAGTTGTCTTTTTTATTTATCATGCTAAAAATATAAAAGAAAACTGACTGCCATGTTTATTTGTAATATAAAGAACTGAACTATTGAAAATGAGCTAATCAAAAAGAGAAATGGATAAACAAAAGGTTAAATGGTACCTGGGCACTCAATGTTTCCAAAGGACTTTCCACTCGTGGAAATGCCATCAAGGGCACGCCTCGTTGTTCATCCAATTTTGATTTTGAGGTTGTCCCATGTGCTCCCTTGAAATTATGAACTACACAGATGCCCTTGGGGATCAGAAAGAGAAAAGAAGATTTGTTTATGGAGCAATCATAATTACTAAAACCCAGAAGATATTTGCATATGTTTTGTGGCATGGACTTAGTTTCTATCACTGAATGGCATTCTTTTAGATTGACATAAACTACCAATTTTATCTTGTTTGTAATTTTGCAACCAATTAAAAGCTCTTGTGTATTCTAAAAGCATTCCATGTCTGTTGTATAATTTTGGCTCATGCTGAGCAACATCTAGCAAAGGTGTTTTACTCACCCTCAGGATCAGTAACACTCTTGTTAAAGCATCTGCTAAAACTTTCCAAAGCAGATTTATATTACATCAATCCATGATCGTATCACATAGTTCCCAGTCAAAGTTTTAGATAACAGTGCACAAACTTGTGACTGAGATGAGAAAGCAGTAGCTATTTCATGGGACAGATGCTGTGGTAAGAAGTAAACCAGAGATGTTGGGAAGCAGAGTTTGCCACAAGTATAGCTGAGGCCAAGAACCACTGACCGACCACAGTAGTTATATAAAAGTCTGTTCAATTTCTGTACAAATGATGGAAGCAGGAAGTAGCGTGTCCTTTGCTCTTAGGATGCAAATTGATCTTTCTGTTTCTTCAGCCCTGTATGAACAAGCTGGCCCAGTTTGGATACAGGCAGGGGAAATTCTCCTCATGAAAATGATAGTAAAAAGTTTATCCACCTACCAGGAAGAGTGCTACTGTGCTTCCCAAGATGAAGCCTGCAATGACATCTGAACAGTGGTTTCGATACTCAGAAACTCGGTTGAGCCCTGTAAGGAAGGCAGCACAAAGTGTCCCCAGACACAACACTGGCTTGGCAAGCCGACTGCTCTTTGTCTTGATTGTGCTAGTGATGTACATCTGAAATAGCAACAGATTGACCTTAGTCACATAACCTAACCCTCAACAATCCAGCACCATTCACCTCATATGATGGTCATCTGTATACAGGTAGCCTTTGACTTGCAACAGTTCAATTACTGACCATTCGAAGTTACAGCCGCACTGAAACAAGTGATTTATGCATGTTTTTCACTTATAACCATTGCAGCATCCCTGTGTTCATGTGTGTGATGACCTGGGGTGTGGCACAAAGGCAACAAGTCAGATAATCAATAAGAGTCCCTTTATTAGCTCCAACTTGGAGCCCCCAATGTCCAGGTTACCTTCTGGTTGGAGAAAAACTATTCCAGGAACAGCCTTTGACTACAGAGAATTAAATCCAAAACATGGTCAACACAAACTGTAAGTTTAAGTCCAATCAAGCCAAACTGAGGTAATTAGTTTGGCAGGGCAGGAGCAAGAATTCCAGTCGTGCAGGCACGGCAAAACTCACACGGTTGGGAAGACGCCAGGAACACAGATAAGCAAAGACAACACAGGATAAAGTCACATTTGCTCCCAGCAGTTGTCACAGTCAGCATTCAGTTCTTATAAACTTTCATCCCAGGTGTGGCTGATGAAGGGAATCAGGGTCCTTTCCTCCCCCATAAGCCACACAACCCATGTTGCTCTCTTCTCCGTTCCTCCCTAGCATGAAGAAGGGGTGGGCCTGGGCCTTCCTCTGAACTCCTTCTCCCTTATCTCTCCCCTGCTCTGCCCAATCAGACTTTGCTGTTCCTCAGCCTCCTCCACAGCCAATGGTGCCACACTCCCATTCCGTGTCAGCTGTTGGTCTTCCTCCTCGGATTCAGACTCTGACAGGAGCATGACAATGTGATTAAAATTTAGACATATAGCAACTGATATTTATGATGGTTGCAGTGTCCCAGGGTCATGTGATCCCCTTCTGCAACCTTCTAACAGGCAAAGTCAATGGGGAACCCAGATTCCCTTGACAGCCTTGTTACTAACTTAACAACTGGAGTGATTCATTTGTCAACTGGAACAAGGAAGGTTGTAAAAAGGGGAAAAATTCACTTAACAACAGTCTCACTTAGCAACATAAATGTTGGGCTCAATTGTGGTCATAAGTCAAGGACTACTTGTACAAAGTTTGGATTTGTGCTCCTTTTAGTTTTATGGTAAACTAACCTTGGAAGCAATGTTTGGTTAGTCGATTTCAATATGAATACTTTCATTACATTCACTTCAAAGAACTCAAAATATGAATTAATCAGGTAATTTGAAAACCAAGTAGCAGAATTCACACACGATGATAAGCAAAGATATCTGTTATTTGTTCGTCTTGTGTCATAATAAAGAGCCATGGTGGTGCATAGCTTAGAATGAAGTATTGCAGGCTAACTCTGCCCACAGCCTAGAGTTTGATCCTGACCTGCTCACGATTAACTCAGCCTTCCATCCTTCCGAGGTCAGTAAAGTGAGGACCTAGATTGTTGGGGACAATAAACCAGATTCACTTAACAACCAGGTTACTATCTTATCAATTGTAGCAATTCACTTATCAAGTATGGCAGAAAGGTCATAAAATAGGGCAAAATTCATTTAACAAATGTCTCACTTAACAAAAGAAATGTTGGGCTCAATTGTGTCATAAGTTGAGGACTGTATTGGTATGTTAGTGCAAGATGCAAGCTTCGAATTTTGGGCCTTATTCAGATTTCTTAGGATTTTTTAAAAAGATGAAATCTATATGGCTAAGCATGCCTTAAAAATGATTTATTATTGGAATCTTGCACAGTAAGAAATATAAACATTTCACTGCTATTCCTTAAAGCTTATGTGTATTTTTTCAGGCTTTTGCAAGAGTCTAAAAATATATTGATCCATGCAGAGTTAATATGACTCTTAAAGGAGCCACAACTTTTTTTGCAGGCTTGTGTTATTTTAACAAAACGCATTACACTGGTTACGAAGTCTAAAGATCTGAATGTTTGAAATATTTGCAATTATCTAAAATAATTACATTAGATCTAGCAATGGGAATAGAGTCTAAAAGTCACCAACAAATCACAGATAATGTTCCTGAGTTTCTGAGATTGATATAGCAAATGATTTTAAATCCTGAAACATGTATTTTTGTCTGATCAACATGCTAAAACAAAATGAGGTATAAAAAGGCATAAACAAGTAACAGTGAATATTTTTTGCTATTTTATCCCATTTCCAGCTTTTAAAAACTGCCATTATGATTTTTAGTGTAATTAATAAACGACAGGAAATGAAGAATGTATGCAGTTTTTTTTTAAAAAAGGCAAAAATACCATGAAAGACAATGAAAATGTAATTATAGGATGCAAGATTTCTTTGTATTCACAACTATTCCTTCAAGGAAACAGCAAAACCACGATAAAAAAAAAATCGGCAGCACTGAGGACAACGTTAACACTAATTTTTGAGGCTATAATTACAAGGGTGACATGAGTAGGCAGATACTGTAGCACTAAAATAAAAGTGATGGGCTAAATCAGCAAATACAATAGAAACTTCTCCAGCAATTTATGCTTTCCAAAACGCAGCCTGGCTTCATTAAGACCTCACTTCCCAAAATAGCATCATCCCAATAACAGATGCTTTCCAAGTATCAAATGAGGCTTAATGGGATGCAAACTAAGGTTAGGCCAAGTTAGATCAATCTCATGGGGATACAAATTGAGAAAAAATAAAACTGCAAAAAATTTGGGGGATATAATTAAGTGGATTGCTATAATTTCCATTTGTTGAACAATCACAGTGGCCTGGTTCCCATAAAGCGCTAAGGTCTAAACCATGATTTCCAAGTGCCAATGGTTGAGCTCACAGAAATACCATGGAGACTTACCATAATGGCTGAAAATTGAGTTGCACTAAATTAATCACACAGAATGGAATCACAGTTCTATTCAAATATCTTCAGAACAATAAGCAAAAAGGTGAGTCAACTGTGCTATATAAACAAACCATTGAGGAAAGTTAGCGCCCACCCCTCCTAGAAGAATGAAATGTTTTAGGAAATATTTAAAAAGGCAGAATGTTGCGTTTCCTTGGATAGAAAAAGGAGAAGCAGGTTTTTAATGATCTCAGCTCCAGGGTGATGGGATTAAGACATGACCCTCCAGGACATAATAGGATTATCTAGTTTACCACATGGCACAACCAAGCCCCTTTATTACATCACCCAGCAAGGTTCAACCAACTTGATTCAGACAAATCTGACTTCATATGGAGTCTGCAACCAATAGGATATATGCCCTTGCCACAGGAACAGGAAGCTTAAGGTCAAAGCCCAAGAGTGGATATAAATAACACTCACTCTCGACTCCATGTGGTCCTGTTCACCATTAAACCATCCTTCCAAGCAGCCTCCATGTTTCCAGTGTCTTTCTCCCCACTTGGAACTGAACCCAGATGGACATTTCTTCCAACACCATTATAGTTTTCATAATTATAAACACTCCAGAAGACAAGCTCAAGATCCAAAAAGATCTTGACAGACTTGAACACTGGGCCCTATCTAACAAAATGAAAGTCAACATAGATAAAAGTAAGATTTTACACAGGCAAGAAAATCCAACTGTATAGGTACAGGCTAGGTGAAACTTAATGGCAATAACTGTAAGAGGGATGTTGGGAGTCCTAGTGGACAATCACTTAAATATGAGTCAATAGTGTGCAGCAACACCTAAAAATTCCAGTGCAATCCTGGGCTGCATTAACAGAGGGATAGACTCAAGATCACATGAAGTTCTAGTACCGCTTTACAAAGCCTTAGTAAGACCACACTTGGAATATTCCATCCCATTTCTGGTCACTCCAATATAAAAAGGATGCTGAGACTCTGGATTAGGGGGCTGCAGGATAAAACATATGAAGAATGGTTATAGGAATTGGATATGTCCAGTCTAATGAAAAGAGGGACTAGGGAAGACATGATAGCAGTGTTCCAGTGTTTGAGGGGTCCCTATAAAGATGAGGGAGGTCAAGCTATTTTCCAAAACACCACAAAGGCAAGATGAGGAACAATGATGGAAACTAACCAAAGAGAGAAGCAATCTAGAATTAAGGAGACATTTCCTAACAGTTAGAACTAGTATTTTATCAGTGGAGTGGCTTTCCTTCAGAACTTGTGGGTGCTCCATTACTGGAGGCATTTAAGAAGATACTGGACAATCATTTACCTGAAATAGTATAGGCCCTCCTGCTCGAGCAGGAGGTTGGACTAGAAAACCTCCAACGTCCCTTCCAACTATTATTCTATGTTTACCATTGTGTAGAATTCAGAGCTTCTTCAAAATAAGAAATATAACAAAAATTGCTTTGCTTACTTTGCTTTGCTTACTGCATCCAAGTCACGAATACTGAATATAAACGTATAAAACATATAAACATATAAACTAGGTGTATATTTTAAAATAAAATTCCTACTGATTTCACAAAATGAACTGGTTTGTAGTGCATCCATTTAGCAGTTTATAAATATACACTTTCACCATCTGCTAGGTGACAGATAATTCTGTGAGCAAAGTGATTTTATTGGGCGTGTACATTGCTCTGGAGGGGATAGTAACAGTAATTACTTCTCAAATGCCCCCCCTCCCCCGTTAATTATACATCTCCACATTTCAAGGCTGAGTAAGCACAGCAGCCAGTCTTTGTCTTTCTCTCACACTCACAAACTCTCACAATACACACACAAACACCGAATCACAAAACAGAATCACGGAGGGCATGTAGCGCTCAGTAAAAGGTAGTTCACAGCTTTGGTGAGCTATGTATCAATATTTTCTTTACTGGAAATGAAATATTTTAAAAAAAAACACGGGCCTTTCCAAGCAATCTCTTTTCATCACCTCCACAATGAGATTCAAAAAGGTTAGAAAGGGATACTCGTAATTTACATTAGGTTTTTCTCACTCCCCTCTCCTTTTCCTTAACGTTCTTGCCTTTCCTCTGAGAAGCAAATTAAATGACTCCACGGG